CCCAATCCTTCCACACGCCACATACAAACCAGACTGAAGTCCGGTATCACCAAACCAAAACATATTCTATCTCTCCACACCTCTGTCTCTGCCGACCAAACGCCAAATTCCTACGCCCAAGCCATCAAGCATCCCCACTGGCGCCAAGCCATGTCAGAGGAATTTCATGCTTTAAAGAAACAATCGATGTGGACACTTGTCTCAGTGCCCGACCAAACTCCCATTCTTGGGTGTAAGTGGACTTTCAAGACCAAACTACTTCCCAACGGCAAAGTCGAAAGATACAAAGCTCGTCTTGTAGCACAAGGCTACGATCAACAATACGGAGTAAATTACACGGAAACGTTTAGCCCCGTTGCAAAAATGACAACTATCCGCGTTCTTCTCACACTCGCCCTCAATCGAAATTGGGAAATTCGTCAACTTGACGTCTCGAATGCTTTTCTCCACGGGGATCTAGCCGAAACAATCTACATGCGTCAACCTCCGGGCTTTGTTGACACCACCGCTCCGTTCGCCGTCTGCAAATTAAACAAGTCCCTCTACGGACTCAAACAAGCGCCGCGTCAATGGTTTGAGAAACTAACAACATTTCTTCAAGATCACGGATTCAGGTTCACTCGTTCTGATCCTTCACTCTTAATTTTCCGTCGCAATAATATACAAATTTTTCTCCTCATATACGTTGATGATATCTTAATTACAGGAAACAATCCAGCAGCTCTCGCCGAACTTCTGTCCAAACTGCATGACCAATTTGCTCTAAAACAACTCAATCAGCTTTCTCTATCCCTTGGCATCCAAATCATCCGACAGAAATCTGGACTGTTTCTCACACAACAGCATTACGCCGAGAAGTTACTCCGAGACTCCGGGCTAGCTGACTGCAAGGCTGCCGATACTCCGCTGGCTCCTAAGTCCAAAGGCCACACTGCTATCAGCCCACCGTTCTCGGACCCGACTCTTTACCGTCGCCTGGCTGGTTCCCTCCAATATCTTTCAATTACTAGGCCCGACATTGCTTTCGCTACAAATCAAGCCTGCCAACATATGCATCAGCCGACTGTTCAGAACTTTCAGGATCTTAAACGTTTACTCAGGTATATCAAGGGTACTTTATCCTTCGGTCTGCCCATAACTGCAGGCGATCTCACTCTTCGGACATATACCGATGCGGATTGGGCTTCCGACTCCTCTGACCGGAAATCAATTTCCGGCTTCTGCACCTTCTTAGGTCCAAATCTTATCTCTTGGACCGTTAAGAAACAAGTGACCGTGGCCAAATCGTCTACTGAGGCCGAGTACAGATCACTCTCAGCTGCCACCTCCGATGTCATTTGGTTGCGCCGTCTAGTTGAAGAACTAGATCTTCCACAACAATCTCCGACACCAATTCATTGTGACAACACTTCTGCGATCGCCCTCGCTCGCAATCCTGTCTTCCATGCACGGACGAAGCATATAGAGATAGACTATCAATTCATTCGCCAGCACCTCAAGACCGGCGCAATCTCCATCACACATATTCCGTCCGATGCACAAATAGCGGATATTTTAACAAAGTCTCTCCAAATCAGTCGGTTTCAAACCATGCGTAACAAATTAACTATTCGGTCCCTGAATAATTAATTTGAGGGAGGCTGTAAAGAGCCGTTGCATTTCTTTACTCTTTATTACGTATTTTGCCATCTATTCTGTTTTATATAATGGCACCTGTACACATTCTTTTATTGGTATTGATTAATAATAATTCTTTTCTTTCCTCGGTTGCTGTCTTCTTCTTGTCTTTATGCTTTAGTTTTTCCTCTTCTATCATATAGGAGGGGGAAGCAAAGAGAAGCAAGAAAGAGAAGAGAAGAGAAGGAGAATAATTAGCTCCTCCTCGACCATCGCCGGAGTTCTTTCCGCCATCCAAACATGCCGGGATTCTGCATGATATTCGGGAGAACACCGAAATTCTGCCCAACTTCCACGTTATGCTGAAATTCTTCCCAATTAACAACGGAGTTCCCTCCTGACGCCGAAACTCCGCCCAAGTGAAGTCGGAGTTCTCCTCTGCCACCAACAGATGTCGAGCTTCTACCCGACGTCGAACCTTCACTCTTCGCCAAGTTTCTACCCGACGCCGGACTTCTATCGGTTATCAGACTTCGCTGGACGTCTATGCGAAGATGGATTTCTTTTCATTGTTGGACTTCTACCTGAAACCATCCTTCTGATCTTCGTCGTCAGACAACAGTTCTTCCAACCTCCGTCGCCAGCCAACTACGGTCCTCCTGACTTACGTCGCCCGCCGACTATGCAGAATGAGAACCATATATTAAGATATCTGATTGAGTTATATTAATTAATTATAATTGATAAGTTATCAAAAATCTTCTTGATCATGCTTGAATCTCGAGGCATATTCAAGTTGGAAACTTTCAAAATTAAATTTGGGATTGTCTGAGTCTAATTTCAGCAAACTTATAGTCAAACTGAACTCCTCAAAGAGACGAACCCAACAACACTACAATCAGTCCAATCCAAACCCAAATGGATTCAAATCGGGGGCCCGAACAACCTTTGGAAGGTTCAAAGCACTATTTGATGACAAAATAATAATCAAATATGGCATGCTTATATTCAAATCGAGCGGCTCAGGGAGGCCAATCCAATGAACCAACGATTGATGGATTCCGACATCATTAAAGCACTTAAATAGTTGAAAAATGCTCTATGATCCAGGGAATCAATACAGGCCATCCGATGAAGCACTCCAAACTTGCCCCTGATCTTCTCTATATTTACAGGGTGTGTTACAAATGAAAATCTATAAATAGACCACAATATCTACATGAAGAGGACTTTTTGTTAGAGATTGGAGAAAGCTTTGAGGCTTCAAGAGCTTCAGCACCACTTCTAGCGAAGCCCCGTCGACTGCCGTCAAACCATTGCCTGGTCATTGATCACCGACGAACTTCTGCCTGGCCACCGCCGGACTTCAGCCTAACCTTCATCGAACCACAACCTGACCTCCAACTGCCATCAAACTTCCACCCGGTCGTCGACCTATGCCAGACTTTAGCCAGACCTTCGTTGGACCATCTCCCGGCCGTTAATTACTGTCGAACTTTTTCCTGACCACCGTTAGACTTAAACTAGACCTTCGTCGAACCACTGCCCAGCCGGCGTCTGTTGCCGGTCTTTCACCTGGCTGTTGACAACTGCGGACTTCTTACTAACCTTTATCAGATCACCGCCCGGCCAATGACCTTTGTCGGACTTCAGCCCGACCCTCATCAGATCACCGCCCGACTATCGACAGCCTCTGTACTTCCACCCGACCATCGAGCATCACTGGACATATGTCCGACCTTCATCGGATCATTCCCCGTTAGCTGAACTTCTGCCCGGATGTCATCAGACTTCTACCCAACCCTCTCCAGACCTTTACATAACTCTCTAAACTATTGTAATTTGACTGCGTCTAAGTCAAGGGGTGAATCATCCTTTGTAATTCACTCAAATTTAATGAAATATTTTCACCAAGGCGAGGCCCCATGGTTTTTGCCTCTTCAGGCTTTCCATGCAAAAAAAAAAAAAAAAAAAAAACATGTGTTTTATCTATCTTTGATCTGATTGTGTGTTGGATTTTTGTACAAAGCTAAGATGTTAAACTTTATATTTACTAACATGAACATTCCAGGACGCAATAATAATATATATAATCCACTATCATCATCTAATTATTTTCACCTTACAGTCACTATTTGATCATTGTTGTCCCCCCATCATAATCTATTCATCATCAACCGGCTGATATTGTCTAAATATTATTACCCGACTATCATTGTCAGAAGATTGTTGTCTAATATTATTTCCCATACTATCGCTGTTGTAGGAGATGAAATAAGTGCTCAAATATTTGCTCTCGACTTCTCTAATTGTGAAGAAGAACAACATTTACAATTTCAACTATTTAGTGGATTATTTTCTTTAGGTCAAGCCCCGGGGTTTTTGTTACTTGGCAAGTTTTCTGCGTAAAAAATTTGATGTCTCTATTTTTTTTTTTCTTTTATCTATATAGTGTTCGGTATAAAATTAAGATGTATAATTATTTTTTTTAATATTTTCATGTATAATAATTATATTTACGCTGTGTAAAATATGTCCCATGGATTAATTCCAAAGTTTGCTAAAATTTTAAGAAATTAATATTAAGCACATGGCAAATTTAATTATCAGTGATTGCTATCTTTGGATTAGCTGGCGCAGGGTGAGTGCGATGTCTGACTTCACTTGCACATCTGCGTCTAAGCGCTTCATCTTATCAGCTCCCAACAATCATTATATTAGGGATGTTAATATCTGACACGATTTGAAAATTCGATTCGAAACTAATCTGAAAATTTTGATTTTGAGTCGACCCATTTAAAAAATAGGTTGGGTTCAGGTTTCAAATCATGACCCGATTGCAAATTCGGGAATGGTCTGATCAACCTGAAAACCTGAAACTAACCCATTCATCAGACAGTCACTCTCGTGGTCATCCGCTTGTCCTTCATTGCGCTCGCTCATCGTGGTCGTCCCCACGCTCGCCAGCATGTCAATTTCATGCTTGCTCGTGCGCCTACATTCAAGCAGGTTAACATGTCGGGTTAGATCAACTCGAGTAAAAATGAGTCAGATCTGAGTTTAATTTTCTGACCCATTTATCTATTCGGATTGAATGAATTCAAAGCGTATCAAGTTTGATTTGGACTCCAAGATTATATCTTCTCACCGTTGTCAAGTTCTGTATGTTTTTTAAATAAATTAATAATACTTTCGAAAATAAATTTATATTTAGACAATTAAATGTGGTAGCAAAAAGATTCGCTCACCGGCTCCTGCGTGGACGCTCCAGAACCAAGTTCTCACAAAGATTTAAATAAAAATCCGTACGTTACAATTATTATATGCAATAATTTAAAATCAAACGGCTAAAATCACGCAATCGAGCCTATAAATAGCTCTTTGTATATCCATATCATGCAGCGCACAATATTTCAGTAGTTTAAGAATTAAGTTATTAGCTGCAGTAATGGCTCCCACTCGAATTGGCGTCGATCTGACCGAGTTTCCGCAGAGAATCGGCAGCGTTAAGATGGGCCGGTACATCGTCGTCGAAGGATCGAAGGGTTATCACAATATCTTCTTATTATTTTTTATTAGATTCGAACAAAATATTCTGATCAAATTAAATTTTTAATTAAAATTAAGTTTAAAATTTTCATACTAATTTTTTTTATGATATTTATTTTGCTAATTGAATTCATCTGTAAAATTTTGCATATGTGTTTTTCAATTTAAAATCTAAAATTAAAAAATAAAAACTACAAATTAGCCCAAATATTTATTCTTTTTTGTTTTGATATTTAGGCCAAATAAATTAAACTCTCACACGTATCATATAAGCTTTGAGTTCAAGATTTTTTTGAGTGATAAAGTTCGAATCGAGCTGCTTATATTTATTCTAATAATAATAATAATAATAATAATAAAACAATACCAGGCTTGAAACTGAAGGGGGCAGCTGCTTCAACAACAAAGGAAGAAGTGGTGGCGATTATGAAAGATGCGGTTGATGTTGTCAAGAGCTTCTTCGGCTCCCAAAATTTCGACGCTGCTGTTATAGTCATTCCTAACGCCACGAGGAAAAAATCTCAAGACGACATAATCTCATACGGGAGGGGCAATGGCTTCAACATCACGCAAGTCATCGAAGAGCACACCGCCGTTTCCGCCGCCTATATCGAGAAGGTTCAACCAAAACTCACCACAAACCTCGCCATCATTTCTCTAACGGGTGGCATCCTCGAAATCAGCGTGGTCTCCATAGTTCCCGTAGAAGACCAATACATAGGCTATCACGTCATCCTAAAGGCGCACAAAGCTCATCCTGAGGTGCTCGACTTGGATGAGTCGAAGGATCAGGGTCATGATCAGAAGGGTGGTGGGAGTGGAATAATAGGACTTATTGGAGGAGCTGCGAAGGCACTCGTTGTAGACCCATTTGAGAACGTTTTGGGTATTCTGAAGAATATATTGGAGATTCCAAATATCAAGAAGAGTGAGATAGATAAGGTAGTGTTTGTTGGTAAGGCATCAAGGTCGGAGAAAGTGAGGAAGGCGGTGAAAGAGAGTTTCAGCAAGGCTGAGGTGTGGGAAGGGATAGATGATCCTGATGAAATTGTGGCATACGGCGCTACGTATCTGTCTTATGAGGATAAGAAGATAAAGATGTACATGCCAGATGATCCTAATGTTGATCTGAGACCGGATGGGCCGGGTACACCATTGGGTTGACCATGAATATATCGTATATGGACTTCAAGCCATGCCTAGTGTTAATTATAATATATTAATGTGTCTCTAATCTTTGCTTTCAAATAAATGAAAGCTCTTCGCCATATGCATGGATGGGGAGGGTGGTATGTTCCTTTGTATGTATGTTTTATTTCCCTGCATGGCTCGTTTATGTCCTTCATTTTCTGTACTATCATATGTTCAATGAATAAGCCTGTCGTAGAATGATATGTATATGTCCGTCTTGTATCATTTTAATGTATTATTATTGTGTTCTATCTCTATCAATCATTATTGATGCAACAATCTGAAATTTTGTAGTGATTTTCAACCTTTAACACAAGGAAAATGACGAATTTGTTAAATGTCCTAAGTATCTTTTATCAATTAAATAAAATATTTATATCTCATTACATGAATCTCGAGATAATATTTAAAGTGAATGTTTTTAGAATACAATTCAGGATCGACCTAACTGTGAATTCAATATATTTATAGTCAAAATGAACATCTCGATAAGACAAACTTATTGATGCTACAATTGATCCAATCTGACTCAAATCAAACTCTTGGGTTATATTTAAAAGCTTTAGAATATAAATTAACAGACTAAATGACTTATAATTAACATGCTTATATTCAAATTGAATGCCAAATAAGACCGCATTCTCTAGGGGCTGGGGGTTGCTCAAGAGTTGAGAACTTAAAAAGCTCTTGAGCATTTTTTAGCTATCATTGTTGACAACCAATGCTAGAAATAGCCTCCCATTTCTCCAAACTTCTGTCAAGCTTTATTCCAATTGTTGGTTTTTATTATTCGTCTGTGAACACTTGAATTTTGTAATCCCTATAAGTAAAATCAGATATATGTTCTCAAGTAATCCCACCTTCTTCAACTGTGAGGAAGATATATGTTCTCAAATTTTTTAGCACATAATAATATTAATAATATTTTTTAAAAGAAATAATTATAAAATTTCAGATATTCAATATTTTTATGGATGGTAGGCATGAAAGACATAACATTAATAATTCAATAAATGGACGGCCAAGATCTAGATCCTGACATTACGAAAGCCACCTGATTAAGCTCATCACCCACACTATTCGTCGGCTTTAAGGTTGCCCACTCTGTTCCCGTCCAAGAGGGATCAAAGGATGAATCTGCACTCTCATAACTTAATTCTCTCAAAAAAATTTTGACACAACACTTATCTACATCAACATAACTTTGTATACGAACAGTTCTTGTTGAAAATTAAATTTAAATTTATTATTTGAGCTTTTGATTAAAGCTCGTACTCTAGATTAATCTATTGTATAGAGATCTACAAATTTATTATAGAGTAACTCTTAGAAATGTCTAGAAACAATTAATGTCCTTTATGATAATAGATTTGAGAATACTCTAGAGAGTCATTTGTAACTTGGATTCAAATGTGTTGGCACAATCCTAATGGTGAACTACTAGTATAAGTAGAGGTAATTTCTTTGAGTTTGTATCAAGCCAAAAGTGAGAAATAAAACTATAGTTTCTTTCATTTTCTCTCTTTCCCTTTTCTCTTTAGCCTTCTGTTGTTCCAAAATTCTTTTCATCCTAATAATGTGGTATCAGAGCCAAGTTCTTATTGAGAGATGGAGCATGGAGGTATGGCTTCCTTCCAAGTTTTATTGTTCAAGACAACATATTATGATAGTTAGAGTATAAAGATTAAGCCACATATTGGAGTACATAACGTTTGGAAGATTCTAGAGAAAGGTTACGATGAGCCAAGCGATGAGTCAAACCTATCCTTAACAAAGGAGACAAGAAACTCTTTTCCTCATCTATTAAGTATTAGATGAAGATGGTGTTGAAAAAATCTCAAGTTCTATATCAACCAAGAAAATGTGAGAGAAGCTCCACATATCGTACAAAGGAGAAGAGAAGTTTTAAAAAGTATTTTGTCAAATCGTACGAAAATAATTTGAAGCCTTGCATATAAAAGAAGGCGAAACAATCTCTAATTATTTTTCAAGAGTTCTTGCTATTTCTAATCAACAAAAAGAAATAGTGAGAAGCTAGAAGATGTGACTATCAATAAAAAGATTATTTGATCATTAGAATCAAGATTTAATAGTATCACAACTATTATTTATGGGTCTCCAAAAGAATTCTGTTCTTGGGGAACATAATGTAAAAAGTATGATCGCACTATCCCGTAGGACAAAATAGTTGTAAACCTTTACATTCTATACAAGCTGGCCAATGGGAGGGCATATGAGATTATACATATAATTAACCATGGAAGATAGAGGCTTTCACCTACAAACCTCGATAGGTAATAATAAGCATAATCTAAGAATCAAGAGATTAGCCCCATCCGATATATCAGCTCGAATGGAGTTTATTTGATGTGGTGATTGATTTCTCACAAGCGTAAGCCCCTGTGGTTAATTAAATCTTAGGCCTCGGCCTAAGAAAACTCTTGATTAAGAATGTTATATTATTCTCTCAAAGGGTTTGGCGTATAGGGAAAATCTGAGCTCTTCTAATCTGAAGGAAAAGATTGACTTAATTAAGTTTAATTAACATACACGGATCATATCATCACTCAATTGGTCTAATGAAGAGAAAAATAGTTGAAAAAGATAATTGCATTCAAACATGCATGAGAGACTGATGGAGGTGACATCATCCATATGACGAGGATGGATAAGATTCATAGCCTCTGAAAGATAGAGAGTTTATACACCGATAAGGCATACAGTGGTACATCAATACCACTAACATTTGATTCTAAATTTATAAAGGATGTAGTATTGTACTCATAATATTAAAATCCATTACCTAACTAATACAATATTGGCTTATATCTTGTTTGAAAAAAAAAAAGTTAGCTAAAACTACCTAATTACGTAAAATTCATGTTATCTAGTATTTATGAAAGATGGGTGGGTGGCTGAATTTTTTAAATTTAAATCTTTTGCCTAGAGAGATTCCTAAGTAGTCTTGTACTTATGAATGGTGTTATACATCTAAGATTAATACAATAAAATTTTAATTTTTATTACTTTTTAATACAATACATACTAATCAAAATCTCTAAATAAAAAATGCATGAAATTTCTAAAAAAATTATAAAATATTTTTTTAGAAGATTAGGCTTCCCTAAGTTCAACACCTCATCATCATAAATCGGATTATCTGAACTTTACCTTCGGGTGGGGAAGTTGTTGACCTCGATTTTTCCCAGAACCTTGGTCAAAGCGTTGACTTTGTCAAATTGACCAAATCAGACCCCAAGACCCTCTCCAATAGGTTCGTGGGGTCGAGTCGAGTCTGTTGAGCCCGAGCTTGGATCCTGAGTCAACCCGGTTGACCAAGTCAACCAGGGTTGACCAATTTAGACCCTTTATGCCTAAAATCAATTTTAAATCCTTTTCATGGCTTCATGGCTTGATCACTCTTCCCCATGGACCTAATTGACTAGGTTGACCAAGTCAACCCTTGACTTGGTCAACCCAAGTCATAATGGGTTAAATATGACCCATTAAGAGCCCATTAATACCCAAATTAATGCCCAATTGATTCACAATCAATTTTAAAAACAAACCACGGCCAAAACCGCCCCTTTTCCCTCCTAATTCGATCTTGATGCAATCCTAGCCGTCCCCCTTAGGTTTAGGAGTTTAAATAGGGAGAAAATTAGGTTTAGAAAGGCTTTTTTTTCAATCTTTCTCTCTCTAGACGACCTCAGGACTTGAGATCTTCTGTGAGAGTTCCTACACCCTTCCACCACCCTTCCTGACTCAATCCCGGCGATTCCCACCCACCGGTGGCGAGATTCCGGCGATCCAAAGCTAGATCCGGTCAGGACTTTGATCCAGCTGATCCGTAGCTCGTTTGATCGAGGATTCAAGAAGGAAAACATACGAGGACAGTCTACAAGCTCAACCGTGTCATAGATTTGAAGATCCAACGGTAAAATCTCACGAAATCCCTTAGTATAGGTCACTACATCTCGGTCTAAATAGCTTTTTGATAAGTCAAATTTAAGACAAACTATTCATCCCCCATAATTTCTGTTCATTCCTAGATTCTAGGTTTAAAATTTTGTCAAATTCCATCGAGTATCAAGCGAGAACGAGGCGAATCTTGTTTTAGGGTTTCGGTTCAGGTTCGGGCATACGCAGGACGGACTCAGGCCGTCGGATCCGCGATCAACGGGTTAGATCCCGTCGCACGGCCCTTCGCGTCCATCCCGCGGTCTGATCTGCCGCCGGATTGAGCCATCCAGCTTGATCTGGACCGTCCATCTCATATGGCGGAAGATCGGACGACCCACGCCTCCGTCCGACGTGGCTTAATGGGACTGCCGCCGCAATCATTGCGGCCAATGATTGCTAGCGGCGCAATCATTGGCCGCGGATAGCGGAACCAATGAACGTCCGCCACGTGGTAAGCCGGTCCCGCCGCCGTTTTCTTTAAATAAATAAGTATTTTAATTTATTTTAAACCTATTTTATCTTTAAAAAATTATAGAAAATTCGTTTTTTGTCCGATTTTGACGTATAATACCTCGTTGGATTCGTATCGTCGTCCTCTACATGATAAAAATTGACCTATAGATTTTAAATTATTTTAAAAACAGTAAAAGTAGTATTTTAAAAATATTATTTTTAATTATTTTGTCATTATTATATTATTATATTATTGTTTTAATGATAATATTAATAGTTATGTTATTTTAATCCACTTTTGCCACTATTTTGTACTTGTTTACTACTATTATTATTATAATATTTATTTGGGTATAAAAAGGTATTTTTTTTAAATGATTAAATATTATTCTAATTATTTTTATTAGTTAAATTACTTAAAAATATTATTAATAATTAAACTATTGCTATTATTATATATTTTAGATTACTTTAAGTTTCATAACTATAAAAATATCATTTTATACTATTTTTCATAATTGTTTATTATTTATTTTAAAGCCTATTTATTGCATTTGATCTTCCAAAATCCATAACTTTCCCGTTTTGAATCCACTGTCGACGCACAGCAGCTTGATTTGAACGTATTTGAATTCTGCACATTCTGGTACTAGTTTTATTTGAATTTTTTTAGATATGTATGCAGTTATTTTCAAAACAGCCAATAACATTATTTTAAAACTATTTAATTATTGTCTATAAACTTCGAAATTGAGTAACTTTTTCGTTTTAAGTCGGATTTTGATGCACAACACCATGTTTTGGGTGTATTTTGAATTCTGCATAATTTAAGACT